TCTACTCCAGCGATTTTTCTTTTCTAATTAATTTATTTATTTTAATTGGAGGCTAATTACCTTCTAATATTGTAGTGGTTTTTGCCATACATTGACACAGGTCAGCCATGGGTGTACCTGTGTGCCCCATCCTGAACCCCCCTTCTCACCTCCCTCCCCATCCCATCCCTCAGGGTTGTCCCAGTGCACCAGCCCTGAGCGCCTGTCTCATGCATTGTACTTGGACTGGCGGTCTATTTCACATATGGTAGCATACATGTTTCAGTGTTATTCTCGCAAATCATCCCACCCTCGCCTTCTCCCAGAGACCAAAAGTCGGTTCTTTATATCTGTGTCTCTTTTGCTGTCTTGCATGTAGGGTCATCATTACCATCTTTCTAAATTCCATATATATGTGTCAATATACTGTACTGATGTTTTTCTTTCTGACTTCACTCTGTTTAATAGGCTCCAGTTTCATCCACCTCTTTAGAACTGATTCAAATGCGTTCTTTTTAAGAGCTGAGTAATATCCCATTGTGTATATGTGTTCATGTCCAGCATTTTAATTAGGTGTTAAAGAGCTTTGAGTATCTAAACGGCTCAGGTCCTCTTCTTCCCACCACCAAGCTTCTCTTGGGCAGACATGGACAACCCCACCCTCCTGCGTGGAATTCCCCGGTCCATGCTCTCTCCTGGGTAAGGTGTCCGGCTGAGGTAGAGGACGCCAGGCCTGGGTCGTGCCCACCCCATGCGTTTGCTGCACACAGCAGTGGTGAGGGCTGGGCGGACACTGGGAGATTGCTTATTCAGCAAATAAATGCATGCCTGGCACCCTCTGTCCAGAGGTAATGGCTATTCAGGCTTGGAGCAGGTTGAAGGGTTACCCCGGGAAGAGGTCCATGTCCCGACTCCAGAAATCTGTGGATGTCATCTTGTTTGGGGAAAAACGGCCTTTGCAGGCTAAGCCAAGGATTTTGAGACGAGTTCATTGCGGGATTACCCATGTGACCAGTGTCCTTATGGAGAATAGACTCCCGTGTAAGGCGAGTGCAGAGGAAAAAAGAGAGGGAGCCGGGCAGGCAGGCAAGAAAAGGAAATTTATCAGAGGGAATAAGAGGCCGACTGGCCCGCAAGGGGAACCAGCAGCCTCCTGTTCTGACGGGGTCTCTCTTATACCCTGCCAATGAAGAACTCTCTGAAGGGATGGTTAATGTTTAGCCTGTAGCTGAGTCCTGCAGGCACGTAGCCAGAGGTCTGGAATGCGGTGGTCTCATAGCCTTGAGAAGGTAAGCGCCAGCGGGAAAACGGCATGTCGTTTGGGCAAGTTGGTCAGTCTCGGGTCACTGTGATTTTATTCTTATTACCCGGACGCCAGGGGAGGCTGGTGAATAGGTGTGATGGGGCAGAGGTTGGCAGGGGGCCGCTGCACTCCAGGCACACCTGGAGCCCCCAGGAGTGGACGGTGGAGGCAGGAGGGTCCTCCCCCAGAGCCGTCGAGGGTGTGAAGCTCTGAGACCCGTGATCTCAGACATTCAGCCTCCAGAACCCTGGCAGCATAAATGGATGTGGTTCTAAGCCCCTTGTTTGTGTTAATTTTCAATGGCAACCCCAGGAATCTCAGACAGGGGTGAGGGGGGCACATTTGGGAACAGCACAAGCATTGTTCAGAGAGGAGACCCCAGTACTTGGTGACGTACTAGGATTTGGAACTCAGGCTCTGCCACTTACAGCTGTGTGATCTTGCGAACTATATTCACCCTCTCTGGGCCTTAATTCCCAAATATTAAAAGGGGCGTAGAGACTGTTCGAGGGTTAATTAACAAGCATAAACCCACAGATCAGTTATCAGCTCAGTTGCTCAGTCGTGTCTGACTCTTTGTGACCCCATGGACTGCAGCACGCCAGGCCTCCCTGTCCATTACCAACTTCCAGAGCTTGCTCAAACTCATGTCTATCATGTTGGTGATGCCATCCAACCATCTCGTCCTCTGTCGTCCCCTTCTCCTCTTGCCCTCAATCTTTCCCAGCATCAGGGTCTTTTCCAAGGAGTCCGTTCTTCGCATCAGGTGGCCAAAGGATTGGAGTTTCAGCTTCACCATCAGTCCATCCAATGAACATTCAGGACTGATTTCCTTTAGAAGGGACTGGTTGGATCTCCTTGCAGTCCCAGGGACTCTCAAGAGTCTTCTCCAACACCACAGTTCAAAAGCATCAATTCTTCAGCGCTCAGCTTTCTTCACAGTCCAGCTCTCACATCCATACGTGACCAGTGGAAAAACCATAGCTTTGACTAGGTGGACCTTTCTTGGTAATAAGCCCATAGAAGTAAATGTCAACCAAAAAAATACAGTCACAACCTGAAAGTAGACAGTTATTTTGTTTGGTGGGGATGTTTAGGACTGGAGCCTGGGAGACAGTATCTTAGCAGACCTGAGAAAACGGCTCCAAGGAGGCCGGAGGGGAGCCAGGCTGTGTGCATACAAGTTTGCAGCAAAGGGAGCAGGCAGTCTGAGCGTCAAAGACCAGGTATCAGGTTAAGGATTTGGCGTTCTTCACAGGGAGAAATGCAAGCCTCTGGGCTCACTGAATTCATTCCTTTCTTAGCACCTCGGCTCTCTGGGGCCAATTCTGTCTCCTTGTTCCCCTGAAGGAGTGGCAGATGGCTACTTCTGGCATCCCTGCCCCCTCACCAGGTCCTCAGGGAGGTCACCACAGGTGGGAGCCAGAGGGTGATGGGAGGTGGCGGAGGCATCGGCTGGACTACAGGCCTTGTGTTCCGTTTTGGGAGACCTCATTCACCTTGGGAGGGCAGAAATCACTGATGGCTGTGACATTTCTTGCCCACCGACACGGCAGGAAACATTTCATTTCATAAATGCGGTCAGACCTTCCTCTTAATATCTTGCAGCAGCCAAAATGGACACCTTGGTGCCCGATGCAGGTGAGAGGCCTCTCCTTGGTGCGCGATGCAGGTGAGAGGCCTCTCCTTGGTGCGCGATGCAGGTGAGAGGCCTCTCCTTGGTGCACGATGCAGGTGAGAGGCCTCTCCTTGGTGCCCGATGCAGGTGAGAGGCCTCTCCTTGGTGCGCGATGCAGGTGAGAGGCCTCTCCTTTGTGCCCGATGCAGGTGAGAGGCCTCTCCTTGGTGCGCGATGCAGGTGAGAGGCCTCTCCTTGGTGCCCGATGCAGGTGAGAGGCCTCTCCTTGGTGCCCGATGCAGGTGAGAGGCCTCTCCTGGCTCGTGCCTGCAACACTCTGTAGTACAAGTCCTCTCCAGCGGAGCGAGGGCAGGGCAGCAGCTGGGCAGACCTCGGGGACCTTCTGCAGTGACACAGGCCTGCGTCTGCATTCCTGAAAGTTTGTGTGAAGCCCGTTCCCTCGCTGCCTACCTCCCTGAGTCCCTGGCCAGGCTGAGAGCTGCGTGGTGTCTGAGCGGGAACAACCCCGCCCCACCTCCGGTACACATTCCCTTCAGTGAGGACACACCTTACCCAGGTCCAGAGGGAGGGGCCGGGCATTGTCCAGGCATCCTGGCCCCGAGCAGGGAGGCGGCTGGGCAAGTGCGCGCCCGCAGGCCAGAGGGGGCGCTCACCACCCCACCAAGTGCTCAGAGGTAACCCCACCTCTGCCGGAGGCGCTGGGACCTGTGGCTTCAGAGGAAACGGGAAACGTGCTGTGAGTCACCCAGGCTGGTTCACAGAGCCGAACACTCGGGAAGACGGGTGGTGAATCACGCAGGGTCTCCGCTCTGGGTCGTCTCGTTAGCCCTCCTCGCAAACAGCAACTAAAGTGCACCCAGAGGCCGGATTCTGGGCCAGAGCATCACTAAGCCTTAAACCATCACCATAAACAGACGGTTTGTACCCTGCAATTGGCAACGAAATGCGGGATTCACAAGTGGCTATTAAACAGTGTTATTGCACTGAAGTGCGGTGGAGGCTATTGATGCAGTCAGGATGGGGCAACCCCTCCGTCTGGTATGCTGGCCCACCTTGTACGGGTATGTCTGTGCCTGGGGCTCCTCCCGGAGGTGTGGGTCCCACCCACCCAGCTTTACAGAGCTTGAAGGAAATGTCACCCTACCCTAAAGGGTTGAGTCTACAAATCAAACCTGCAGCTCTCTCAGCACCGCTGGCCTCCGGGCCTCCCCATGAACTCGGCCTCTGGAGGCTGCAGGAAGCTTCCCTCCGCTGGCCTGCATGTGTGACTCGTGGGTACACACCCTTCGGCTGTGTCATCGTCTCTTACCCTTACATGCTCCACATTCTATATGTGGCCGCGTGATGCCCAGGAGTGATGCTCCGCTGTGGGGGCGTGATCGCCGGGTTTGCTCTGACCGCGCCTCATGCTCCCGCGTGGAGACGAGGCTCCGCTTTCCCGGGAGTCCACTGTCAGGCTGCCCCGTGCCTGTGTGGGCGCTGGGTCCCGGGAGGAGCACGCCCTGAGACCATCTGCCCGTCTGGCACAGGAGGTCCTAGCTGAGGATCCATACCATCGGGGGACAGAGATGTGGGGGCCAAACATGGAGCCTGCAGACTGTGAGGGGACAGCCATCCCTTTCACACACTTGACCTGTATCCTCGGGCAGCTCGTAGCTCAGCTGGTAAAGAATCCACCTGCGATGCGGGAGGCCTCAGTTCAATTCCTGGGTCAGGAAAATCCAACAAGGCGTAGGCTCCCCGCTCCAGTATCCTTGGACTTCCCTGGTGTTTCAGCTGGTAAAGAATCTGCCCGCAATGCGAGATACCCGGGTTCGATCCCTGGGTCGGGAAGATCCCCTGGAGAAGGGAATGGCTACCCACTCCAGTATTCTGGCCTGGAGAATTCCGTGGGCTGTATAGTCCATGGGGTCACAAAGAGTCGGACACGACTGAGCGACTTTCTTCACTTTACTTCGGGCAGCAGACGGCCAGGGGCAGGGGCTCCCAGCCGCCCCGTTGGTGGCAGAAGGCCCGTGGGGTGGCTGAGGACGGGCCCAGCCCACCAGGCCCTGCTCGGAGCCTCCCCCGTGGGCCCAGCTCGGCCCTGGCTCAGAGCTGAACCTGCTCGTCTGGGGACACCCATGGAAGGAGCTTAGCACGGCCCCGCCCCGCAGTGAGGCGGGCCCGCAGCAGGGAGCTGGACCAGAGGGGCTCGGGGGCACAGGGCCCAGGGCCCCTCCCGGGCAGCACGCACCCTGCTCTCGGACACAGTGTGTGGAAAGGCCCCGAGTGGCCGTAACTGCTCGTGGGCATCCGGCCTTGCCCATCAGCCCTGAATCTCGGGTCCTTCCCGACCTCGGGGGTCCCCACCTCCTGCGGCAGGAAGGCAGCTGCCAGGGTCCTCACTCCAGTGGGCTCTGCATTTCAGTTGGGAATTGAGGGTCTGGAGACAGCCCAGGACCCTAGAGAACGCTGGGATAACTGCGGATGCCGACTTCAGGAGAGGAGAGGCCGTGGCTGAGGCAGGGGCCCGGGGGGCGGGGGTTCTTCCGTGATGCTTCCAGATCTCACGGGCCTGACCCCAGCCTGACCCCAGGGCTGGACGCTGGAGGGCCGGATGAGGACTCCAGGGGCTCGAGAGGTGTGGACAGATGCCGGCAGGGAACTCCCCACCTGCCCCATAGAGGGCCCCAGGAGTCACGGCAGGACGTGGGGCCATGAGGAGATGTACGGGGTGGAGCAGGGGGCTGGCCGAGCAAAGACGTCTCAGGGACACAGACCCACACAGAAAGGCCGCCTTCCTCCGGGTGGGAGGACAGAAGCACCACACGGTCGCTCCCTGCCAGGCCCAGCAGCCCGAGTCCATGCTTCAGGGTTCGGAGGGAAGCTGTCCCTCCCTCCCACGTGCTCAGAGAGAGCTGTGTGAAGACACTCTCCCAAGCCCATTCTTCTGCCACCCACTGGCAGAGGGAACCCAGGTCTGCACAAGATTCCTCCTGCACGGCAAGCCTTTAAATCATTCACTCACAGCCTGTATTTCATTCACATTCAAATTCAGTTATTTGAAATAAATTTACCTTTAAATAAATCATAGGCTGTATGCATTACAAATCACAGTGATTATGACTAGGGAAGATGACAGGCCCTCACTTACGAATAAATCAGGCATTTTCCCAGCAAGGGACCCCGTGATAAATGGGCTGTGGATGTCTGACTCACTTTTTTATCCAGATTCCATCTGGGATACTCAGCATACATTCAAAAGGTCCTGATGACGCTGTAGCTGTTTAGACGTGTTCAGGCTGAACCAGCCCATTTTGCATGCAAGTCAGAGCCCTGCTTGCATGGGTCCTTTCATTCTCTGCCCACTTCACCCACCAGTCCCAGGAGCCAAGGGGCAATGGAGACATTCCCACTCCAGTTCACTTTCATCACCGGCAAGGAGCGATACTGTCTTCCTTTCTGTTTCCTGGGGTCCATGGGAACCGCGCCCCCTCACAGGAGCTACAGTGTGGATTCGCCCTCAAGGAAATCATCAGTAAGGAAGTTAGATGGTAATCATCACTCTAAACAATTAAGAAAACAGATTAGCAGGCAAAAGTGTCCTCCCTGAGGTAATTTAAAAGAATATTTCTATTGTCTGCTTCACTGTTTTTAGATAGTAGAAGGAAAACTCAAAAACAATGAGCTGGTATCTTAAACATGATTAAAACCAGAGGCAGACCGGGCTTCCCAAGTGGCCCTGGTAGTAAAGAGCCCACCTGCCAACTGCTGTTCAGTTGCTCATTGGTGTCCAATTCTTTGTGACCCCATGGACTACTGTATTCCAGGCTTCCCTGACCTTCACCATCTCCTGGAGTTTGCCCAAATCCATGTCCATTGAATCAGTGATGCCATCCAACCATCTCATTCTCTGTCATCCCCTTCTCCTCCTGTCTTCAATCGTTCCCAGCATCAGGATCTTTTCCAATGAGTCAACTATTTGCATCAGGTGATCAAAGTATTGTAGCTTCAGCATCAGTTCTTCCAATGAATATTCAGGGTTGATTTCCTTTAGGATTGACTGTTTCTATCTCCTTGCTGTCCAAGGGACTTTTAGGAGTCTTCTCCAACATCACAGTTCAAAAGCAATGCAGAAGACATAAGAGACATGGATTCAGTTTCTAGGTTGAGAAGATCCCCTGGTGGACGTCATGGCCATCCACTCCAGTGTTTTTTCCTGGAGAATCTCGTGGACAGATGAGCCTGGAGGGTTACAGTCCGTGGGGTCACAAGGAGTCAGACATGACTGAAGCGACTTAGCAGAGGTGTACAGAGAGAGGCCAGTCCTGAGTCAGCCCTGTAGAGCAGCCCCCGGACTGGCATCAGCAGCAGTGTCCTCAGACACGTGTGGAGACACGCATTCCTGCAAACACAGGGCCCACCCAAAGACCCGAGCCATCTGGGGGAGCACCTGGACTGCAGGCTCCTAGCAGCAAGCCAGGAAGGCCCAGTGGTGAGCCTTAGTTGAAAAATGTGCCACCCGTGGCCTGGAGCAGCTGCCAACGGGGACAAGAGAAGGCCCAGGACAAACAGTCCATCCAAATACCATTCCTCCCAAATTAATCCAGAAATGGAAGCCATTATGCTAAGTATAAAAAGCAGAGACATCACTCTGCCAACAAAAGTCCATCTAGCCAAAGCTTTGGTTTTCCCAGTAGTCATGTTTGAAAGTGAGAGTTGGATCATAAAGAAGGCTGAGCACTGAAGAATTGATGCTTTTGAACTGTGGTGTTGGAGAAGACTCTTGAGAGTCCCTTAGACTGCAAGGAGATCCAACCAGTCCATCCTAAAAGAAATCAGTCCTGAATGTTCATTGGAAGGACTGATGCTGAAGCTGAAGCTCCAATAATTTGGCCACCTGACACAAAGAACTGACTCATTGGAAAAGACCCTGATGCTGGGAAAGATTGAAGGTGGGAGGAGAAGGGGATGACAGAGGAGGAGATGGTTGGATGGCATCACCAACATGATAGACATGAGTTTGAGCAAGCTCTGGAAGTTGGTAATGGACAGGGAGGCCTGGCGTGCTGCAGTCCATGGGGTCACAAAGAGTCAGACACAACTGAGCGACTGAACTGAACTGAAAGGTGTGCTGGGCTTGACCTGCAAGACCAGAGCAGGGAAGTCTTCCAGCAGAGAGAGATGTGGAATGTCTGTACTGAGATCAGACACACAGGTCATGAGCAGGAGAGGGGCATCAGCCTTGCATACGTCACAAGTCTTTTTCTGAACTGACTGACGCTAAGCGTATTAATAACAGATAAGATAGCATTAACAATAATGAGATCGTCATGGAAATACTCTTAAAGTAAATAAAATAATTAGGAATTGTGAGCAGTATTAAAGGTGCTTTTAGATAATCTGGTGAACTGATTCAAAAGGATAAACTTTGAGAAGCATGTAATGAGGGCCCTCGGGATACTGTACTGTGGCAAAGTCACATTATTCAGTTATGAGTTTCCAGCACTGGGGCTGCAGAAGAATTCACCCTGAGACTCCCCCGGGCTCTGTGACCAACCCCCACTCTGTCGCCTCTTTCCACCCTCCCCGAGCCCCTCCCCGACACCCTCCCCCGACACCCACTCGGGGATATGATCCACCCAGCCATGCCTCACACATCATCCATCAACGCTTTCCAGATAATTTAAAGTTTTCGATGTGACCCAATAAGGGTGTAAACTATATCTGAAGATTTATATGAACTCAGAATAAGGAGATATTTCAAAGGTGCCGCCAAATGCACACACTCTTGAAAAACCAGTTTGATGGGTTTGACAAACCAAAAATGAAATGCCGAGCATGTGGAAAGACATGGTAGGTAAAACCAAAGGCAAGGTGCAGAAACGTTTCTGCAACCCAAGGTGGGAAAGCGCTGACATGACTCTTAAACCTAAGGAAACTTGCAGCAAACTCCAGGCAAGAGGACAACAGTCAGTCCAGAAAAAAAGGTTGAGAAAACCCTAACGGACATTTCTACTGGACATCCACTCCACATACCACTCCAGAAACTAAGTCAGAACAGAGACCAGAGTGTGTGCTTCACTGGCCCGCCAGTGCGGAGGGAGCTGGGCTGTCCTGGGGATGCAGGGTCCCCTATCTCTGACCTCTGACAGGCCACCCCAAGTGAGGCTGAGCCCAAGGCCTCCACAAGCTCAAGGCACAATCCAGAAATATTCAGTGCAGGTGTCTGGAGTGAATAATAGGAGACACTCTGTGTGCGTCAACTTAGAAGGGGTCTGAGGAAGGAAGGAAACAATGATATCTAAGCACACTTTGCAGCCCTGCGAAATGATGCTACAAAAAATTGTAGGGGATGAATTCAGTGTATTTGTTCCTAATGGAAAAAGCTCACCAAGCAATGGAAAAACTTCTACTTCTTGTTGTTGCATATTTGAAAAAAATATAGAAAACATGTAATTATTAGCACAATTACATCTCGATGGTAAGATAAAAACACACATTTTTATTTCAACCTTTTTTCTCCGGTTTCTATTTGACAACATGACATTTTGTATGTGTGTGCATTAGTCACTCAGTCGTGTCCGACTCTTTGCGACCCCATGGACTGTAGCCCACCGGGCTCCTCTGTCCGTGGAATTCTCCAGGCAAGAACACTGGAGTGGGTTGCCGTGCTCTCCTCCAGAGGCTGTTTCTGACCCAGGGTTGGAACCTGGGTCTCTTGCATTGAAGGCAGATTCTTTTCCATCTGAGTCGTCTGAGAAGCCCCGATGGCACTTCACCTTATTGCATTTCTAAAGTAAAAATAAATGAGGAAAGAAGAAGATGTCTGAAAGTTATATTTAAATTCTCACAGAAAACATGCCTCCCGCCCCACTAAGCACCGGAAAAATCCTGCCACTTGCCTGAAACTCAGCTTTCTCCCCCCAGCCCCGCTCCAACCAGATGTCTAACGGTCGAAACATTGTGGAAATCAGGAACCCTGCTCCTCCATCCAGCGGTGCTCTCAAAGCTGAGAAGCACCACAACACATTGAAAGAAAGGCAGACGCTGATATTAGAGTGTAAAGCGTTATTGTTTCTCTGCCTCGCAGAATTCACTCTCAGAAAAAGAGTTTGGATGTAAGTGGTCTGTTCATCCTTATCATGTGGATCCTTAGAATCTACAGAAGCGACTCTCAAAGCCCTTTTCACAGTCCTGGTCCTGGAAGGTGGCTTTGTACCCAGGTCCCCGAGAGGAGAGCCCCCTGGCGCCCGTGGTAGAGCCCCCTGTCCTGGAGAACCATCTGAACCTCCCTCCATCTGGCCGCGGCTGTGCTATAAATAACCCTGCCTTCCATGTCTGCGAGAGTCCATGATTTCTCTCCCTTTCCCCTGGGGACTGAAGGCTCCTTCCACAAACAGGGGCAGAGGACCACAGGAAGCCCCACTTTCCTGAGCCCCTAGACCCTGCCAAGACTCCGCGACCACAGATGAGATGAATAAGCCCATTTGCAGTCCTTCTCTGCCATTTGTCGAAGCCAAGGCTCCAGATAAACACAAGCACAATTGCCAACAGGCTTCACTGAAATGAAAACATCATTTTTCCTTCCGTCCAGCTCAGGGAAGTCTGAAACTGCCTCTGATAATTAATCCACGGAGAGAAATCAATACTACAACTGGTTGAAGATGAAACAACCCATAGCAAAATAAACTTTCCAGGGATGCCTCAGCAGTTTCGGCGGACGCAGAGTACCTGTTGCAGATGTGGAAATGTGGAATCTAAATAAATGTTGCTTTCTCTCCCCAGATTCATCCCACCCCAAAGGTCAATTACCCAAACCATTTTACGTTGTACAACACTTTTGTATAAATACATTCTTTGTTCTCCAAATGTTGACAAGTCAGGCTTCTTTTTCCCATTAGGTCCAGCAAATGGGTCTACAATTTGGTAGTTGCAAAGAGACTGAAAGGAATAGTTTCAGGGGTGAATGATTTATGAGTGATGAGGAAAATCCAGGTTTCTCATATGGGCCACTCGTAAATCCAGTGTGGTTTGGTGGAGGGGGCATGTTTTTCTTTTCTTATTCTGGTTTCGGGTTTTGTTGAAGTTTTGTTGTTTTAGTGTAGCTTACCTTTGGGAAGCCAGGTTGAGTTGGCAGCATGAACTGACCCTGTGTTCAGACCGTTCAGTCTGCTGTTCGTTATAAAGGATTACAACATGGCGGGTTAGAGAAATGAAGGAGGTTTAGATCTTTTGCTTATCGGGAGCCCTGGAGTGTTCAGTGAAGGACCTTGGCTCCTAGAGAGATGAATCCAAGATGGCACGTCATTAGGCTCCAGTGAGAGAAGCTTTCCCACAACAAGTGAGCGTTGCTTGGCCGACTGCAGGAGCACCTGTTGTTGGGTTTAACAGGCTAGTCGGGCCCCCTGACTGGCTGAAAGGGCAAGGAGCCTGTGTTTAGCATATCACACGGTTTTCTTAATCCTTATAATAACCTCAGAGCTGATCTAGATTTGCTCGGGTCTGGAGTCAGGCCACCAGGTTCTGCCTCTTGACAGCTGTGCACCCCTGGGGAGGTCACTTGGCTTCTCTGTGCCTGTTTCCTCTTGCATAAGAACAGCACTTCTCTCCTGGGGCTGTTATGAGGATTGACAAAGTATGATGTGCGATAGAGCTTAGAGCAGTGCTCGGGGCATGCCACGAGCGAGAGAAACCTTTGTTATCTAACTGCTATCCCAGAAAGGCGAGGCCCCTTGCTCAGATATATACAGTGAGCTGCAGCATTAAAGGATGTGACCATGTCATTTAGATGCCAAATTCCACACTCTTCCCATTGTTTCTGGAAGTGGAAGGAAGGCAAAGCAGCACCTTGGCATGAACTTACTGCTAATTTGGCTCACGGAGCAGGTGACACTGAATTCTTTTGAGAACTGAGGCTCCCTCTGAGGAGCGAACAGCCACACGCTTTCATTTTTGTCTTTCAGCTCCTGTTCCTACAAAAGGAACAACGTTATATTCATTAACTGTTTAAATCAAATTTCCCCTAGCAAAACTGATATATGCTCTAAAGATTTGTGGCAAAACAAACAGAGAGAAAGTGTGTTGGAAGCCCAAAGAAAGAGGAAACACTTCCATTTCTGGAGAAAGCCACCAGGAGGTCCCTTTCCAGTCCTTCCTGTGTGATCTTGGGCCAGTGGATGGAATTCTTCATAATAGAAGTAAAGTAAGCTATCACAGGTTCCTTGAGCCAACAAATTAAACTCTACTCTGAGCTGATAGTCTCTTTTGTTGGCTTCAAAAACCAGCCACAGGAGACGAAAACTCATCTCTGTAGGAGAAGGGAACATTCCCCCCGAAGGGAGACCGTTCCTCTGGCCTACCCACTTTTGTCTTATCCTAAGTACAGAAATCTCTCTGCAGAAGTAATATTTTCCCTGAGGTCTCCAGGTTTCCTCCTGCAGAACTCTGGAACCAAGCTTTTAGCTCACCCTTCCCACCTGTCTCACCAAGTGCTTTCCCGGTTTCACATCTACATTCTGCAAAAGGCAGAAGTCGCAGAAACGCCTAAAAGGAGGTGATGTTAATTACCCAGTATCTAGAGCCACAGGATAATTCACTAGATGCACCTCCTTGGCTTGCAAAAGGCGTTTGAGGAAGAGATTACACGTCTCAGAGCGAAGAGCTCTGTTCATTATGACCGACGTGTGCAGAGTCTGACCGCGAGATCGCTCCCCGCGCCTTCCGCCTTTAGACACACTCAGGTCCTGCCGAGTTCAGCGCAGACTGAAGTGACTTCCGAGTCTCCCTCTGGGGAGCCTTGAGAGCGCTTTTGTCCTCGGAATGGGTCTTCGCCGACGGACTGGCTCACTGCTCACCTGCGGCCTCAGAGCCAGGCCTCTCCCTTCATCTGCGAGTCGCAGAGAGGCTGACTCCGGCTGGAACCTCTCGACAGACACTGAAACACCGGCAGGCAGCATCCCCGCCCTGCGCTCCGGTCACCGCGAGGCCCAGGCCCCTGCCCACCCCTCCCCCGGGGCGGGAGAGGAGCTGGAGGAGGGAGCCCCGGTGGAGCCTGCCGGCCCGGGGCGGAGTGTCCAGCCAGTCCCCAACAGCGGCCGGCAGGTCTGGGGGGCTGCACGCACACATGTGGCTTCACCCCCAGCTCAGAAGGAAGGCCCCTGGGGGAGCCAAGTCAGGTGGGCAGGGGTCCAGGGGAGGGGCTAGCTGGATGTCTCAGCAGCAGCCAGGGCGGGGTCCTCAGAGTGGCCGAGGGGACACAGAGTAAGGACGAAGGCTGGGCAGGTTGCCCAGGTCCATGGCCGGCCAGCAACCCTCCAGTCGGGCCCCATGCACAGTCACCTTGATTATGCAAGCGGTCCCCTCCCTCTTCACACGCCCACTGTGGACCCTGACCACCAGGAGCCTGCAGCCGTGGGACCCAAGTCCAAAATGAGGCAGAGGGGTGACTCCTCTGGGGCCGATGGCCGAGCCTCGGTCACCCCTGGGTGCTGGCTGTGATGCTGCCTCCAGAGGCAGGCGCGTCTGAGCGCTCCGGACAACGAGGCCCTGGCCCGCCTCGGCCGCTCCGGAGACCGTCCGTCAGCAGCCCAGTTTATAAATCACGGGGCGGCTGGCTGCTCGCCACGGGGAGGTCCGAGCGCCCAGAAGTACTTAGCCGGCTCCCAGCCCCGCCCTCGTGCTCTCTCCCCACCTCCAGCAGCAGGACCATCCATCATCTTGGCCCACAGAGGTGGGTGTTCTGACAAAAGGATGCCTGGGAGCCAAACAATGTGATCCCTTAAGTCTCGGGGACGGGGGAGCTCTTTAAAATTTCCAACCGGTCCCTTAGCCTTTTGTGTTAACAAAACCTATTCATTTCAGGATTTGGCAGTTCAAATTATTTCAGACAAGACCTCAAGACAAATGGTTATTTGATAGAGTCACACAGGCACGAGTGGCAGCCGTAGAGAAATGGATGCTCGTCCTGGCAGGCGGGCGGGCGGTTGGCGGGTGCTGGGAAGGTGAATCGGACTGGGTCCTGGCAGCTGGTCAGAACCACCTGTGCTTTCCAGAAACAGGGATGCGTTCTAGTTAAATTAGAAGTTTCCCCCAGACCACACGCATGTGAAGTCCCAGTGCGTGTAGGACGAAGTTTTTCTCAGTACTCGGCAGTGACAACCACATGTAAAAATGACATGGAAGGGTGACTTTTCTTTCTGTGTTGTATTACCTGCTAAGCTTCTTCTTACAGAATTCAAACAGGATTTTTTTTTTCTGCAAAGAAGAAAAAAAAAGACATGAATGGTCCACCATCTAGAAGAAAGTGGGAGAGAGTATAGGTGGAACAGAGAGCTCTCCTCAGTCTCTCGCCGGCAAGGAGGGGGCCGTGCAGGCTGGAGGCGCAGGAAGCATGTGTCTGAATCCCCAGCCACATGTCCAGGAGAGGCCCTCGGGGGCGACCGTGTCCGCAGGCTGCTGCCGGAGAGGCCAGGTGGGCCTGAGTGTCCAACGGGAGAAGCGGCGGAAGAAAAAGAAACGAAGCTCGGCGTCGCTGCAAAGAACCGGCCCGTGCAGGGAGCAGCCCCCCAGATGCCCTCAGGCCCTAGGGACCCCCGCAGTCCCTCACGGCATGAGGTCGCCCCAGTGTTTGTGGAGATGGAGTCTCCCGTAAAGAAACATAACCCCAAGGGGGCCTCCCACCCCCTTGGCCAGTCTGCGGCGCGGAAGAAACGCCAGGAGCAGGAGTCACGGGGTTGTCTTACGGTCCATCTGCTGACCACGTGAGCTTGCCCAGTGGCTCAGTGGTGTCCGACTCTCTATGACCCCATGGACTGTAACCCACCAGGCTGCTCTGTCCATGGGATTCTCCAAGCAAGAATAATGGAGTGGGTTGTCATTCCCTTCTCCAAGAGATCTTCCTGATCCAGGCATTGAACCTGGGTCTCCCGCATTGCAGGCGGATTCTTCACCCACTGAGCCACGAGGGGAGAATTAACTATTTTCACATAAGCCCCTGCCTCCTGTGTGCGTTTAAGATGGGCCGTCTGAAGAGCTTAGTTGTAGGACCAGCATCATATCTCCCATCAGCCAAAGGGTCGGCCCTGCTTGTGAAGGCTGCCCCCGACCCTGGCTGCTCTGCCGAAGACACCAACATGTCTGAAAGCACCAAGGGGCCCCAAGGAGGCTCAGTCACCATCCTGCAGACGGGTGGTTAGAATCATGACTCCACAGAAGTGGAGGGGGTTATGTGTTTATTGCATATCCGCTTGAGGGAAAGCCACTGGGAGGAGCTAGGGGGCTCAGCGTATTATATGTTTTTCCCCTAAAAGTCCAGGAGAAGAACATGTGAGGTTACGCATCTGCAGGTAATCCTCTAAATAAACGGTTCCCAGGATGGAAAGCTGAAATCCCAGTACTGATGCGAAGAACTGAAAAGTCCTTGGAAAAGACCCTGATGCTGGGAAAGACTGAAGGTGGGGGGAAAAGGAACCGACAGAGGATGAGATGGTTGGATGGCATCACTGACTCACTGGAGTTTGAGTAAACTCTGGGAGATAGTGAAGGACAGGGAAGACTGGCATGCTGCAGCCCACAGGATCACAAACAGTCAGATATGACTTAGCAACTGAACAACAACAGGATAGAAAGCTCCAAGCAGAACTTTTATGAACTGTAGACCCCAAAGCAGCAAGTCCACACAGAGTATAAATTATGAAATTATAAAATAAGTTTTATGGACACAATTATAGACACAGAAAGTGGGTTGTAGCATCTCTATTCATGTATTAGAAGTAGGAAGAGGTATTTAAGCTATTTTGAATCTTTACCAAAAACTAGTGGGTACTTAATCAAGCCTATTAACTTTTTAATCAATCATGGGGAAAGAGACTTTACTTGTGAAACTTTGGGTGAAAAGAAAGTGATGAAGTGGTCTGCTCTATGGAATCGAGACAGGATCCTGTCACTGAGAGTGCTCATTAAAGGCTGGCCGTGCGGTCCCCTCCTGCCCCTTTCATGGGAGATGTTACTGTAATTCCACACTCAGCCTGAGTGGGCTTATCTCTGGTCCAGCCCTCACCTCTGATCTGAACGGATCAGCTGCCCTGGGCTGGTCCCAGAAGGAGGCGTTTCTTCCGTGACAGCCTGTTTCACAAGCGAATGAGGTGCTAGGTTCTTGTGTAGCCTCCTGTGGGCTCCCCTGGCGGCTCAGTGGTAAAGAGCCTGTCTGACAGTGCAGGAGATGCAGGAGACATGGATTCCATCCCAGGGAGAAGGGCGTGAGCCCAGGATTCTTGCCTGGAGAATCTCTTGGACAGAGGAGCCTGGCGAGCTCCAGAGGGTTACAAAGAGTCGGACACGACTGAGCACACACACAGCTTCCTGTGAGTTGGGTGGCAGAAGGTGGGAGCACGGCTACTGTTCAGTCACTGAGTCATGTCTGATCCTTTGCGACCCCATGGGCTGCAGCATGCCAGGCTTCCCTGTCCTTCTCTATCTCCAAGAGTTTGCTCAGACTCATGTCCATTGTGTGGGAGTGTGGAAAACCAAATAAATTCAACAAAACCATGTGTGAGCAATCACCAGGACCCCTTGTAAAAAAGAGTCTAGAACCTCAGTAAAACCAGTCACAGGCAATGTCACTGAAATCACACCAGAAAGAGAGGGCAGAAGGAAATGAAGATGTGGTCTGGGCACATTCGTGCTCTTGGCCCCCAAACACTGGGTCATCGGCCGTGGGCGGATCACTTACAGCTTCTGACAGGCGGGTGAGCAGAGGCCACGGGAGAGCACACATCGGGGCCCAGGGCAGGGGCACCAGGTAAGCAGGTGAGTGTGGCTGCAGGCCAGGTGAGGATGCAGCTGAGGGCAGGCATCAGGGCCTCGGAGGCCAGGTGAGGATGCAGCTGAGGGCAGGCATCAGGGCCTCGGAGGGCCAGGTGAGGATGCACCTGAGGGCAGGCGTCAGGGCCTCGGAGGCCTGGTGAGGATGCAGCTGAGGGCAGGCACCAGGGCCTTGGAGGGCCAGGTGAGGATGCAGCTGAGGGCAGGCATCAGGGCCTCGGAGGGCCAGGTGAGGATGCACCTGAGGGCAGGCACCAGGGCCTCGGAGGGCCAGGTGAGGATGCAGCTGAGGGCAGGCATCAGGGCCTCGGAGGGCCAGGTGAGGATGCACCTGAGGGCAGGCGTCAGGGCCTCGGAGGCCTGGTGAGGATGCAGCTGAGGGCAGGCACCAGGGCCTTGGAGGGCCAGGTGAGGATGCAGCTGAGGGCAGGCATCAGGGCCTCGGAGGGCCAGGTGAGGATGCACCTGAGGGCAGGCACCAGGGCCTCGGAGGGCCAGGTGAGGATGCAGCTGAGGGCAGGCATCAGGGCCTCGGAGGCCAGGTGAGGATGCAGCTGAGGGCAGGCACCAGGGCCTCGGAGGGCCAGGTGAGGATGCAGCTGAGGGCAGGCACCAGGGCCTCGGAGGCCAGGTGAGGATGCAGCTGAGGGCAGGCATCAGGGCCTCGGAGGGCCAGGTGAGGATGCAGCTGAGGGCAGGTGTCAGGGCCTCGGAGGCCAGGTGAGGATGCAGCTGAGGGCAGGCATCAGGGCCTCGGAGGGCCAGGTGAGGATGCACCTGAGGGCAGGCACCAGGGCCTCGGAGGCCAGGTGAGGATGCAGCTGAGGGCAGGCACCAGGGCCTTGGCGGGCCAGGTGAGGATGCAGCTGAGGGCAGGCACCAGGGCCTTGGCGGGCCAGGTGAGGATGCAGCTGAGGGCAGGCATCAGGGCCTTGGAGGGCCAGGTGAGGATGCAGCTGAGGGCAGGCACCAGGGCCTCGGAGGCCAGGTGAGGATGCAGCTGAGGGCAGGCATCAGGGCCTCGGAGGCCTGGTGGGGCCACGCTGGATGTCTGTCGGGGTTTCAGTGGAAGAAGGCCTGAGGTGTGAGTGTTGCATGAAGCTGTGTCCAGGTGAGAGAGCAGAGGCGTGTCGGGGTGCGGGAAGGCCGCCGGGGCTGGGCCTGGGGACGCAGACAGCTGAAGTGAGACAGGCGTGCCCAGTACTGCAGAGCTGGAGCCGAGGGGCCTGCTGATGGGCGGGCGAGGGGCGGGCCCTACACAGAGCAAGAGCCCTAAGTCGACACGGGCCCTGGGGGCGCTTGGCCCGGGGCCTGGGCCGGAAGCAGAGGTCTGGAGTCCAGAAGGGGGACAGAAGCCTGGGGTTCTAAAGACGGGCTGTGAGCCGCCCAGGACGCCCCCAAGCGCCGGGCCACGCGGCCCATCTCAGGGATGCCCCGTCTCCACCAAGCCCGGGAGCACAGCGTCCCCGTGCACAGGTGAGGGGCGTGGGGGCCGCGTGCGTGCCTGCGTGCTGCGGGGGAGGGGGCAGAGACGCGCCCCAGGGGGAGCAGCCCCAGGCCAGCCAGCAGGCTGCCCTTCCGCCCAGGAGGACAAGGACAGCCCCAGGACTCGCCCGGAGCCCGCTCCCGCTGCGCGGGTGGGGCTGTCTCCCTGTGTCCGCTGAATTCACCTGCAACTTCTTCACCTTTCCTCAGTAAATACAGATGCAGCCCCTACAAACGGCCACACCCAAGTGCCCCCCAAGGGAGAAGGGGAGCCCTGGCCACCCCAGCCCCCTCCTCAGGGGCACTCCTCCAGCCGCCCGACTCCCCCCACCTCGCATGCCCTTGAGAAACAGACGTGTGTGCGAGGCCCCAGAAGGCAGGCGTGCCCTCTCTGCCCCTCCTCCCTGGTCCCGCTGCTGGCTCAGCCGCGTCCCTTTCTAGGAAGCACCAGACCTTCTGGAAGCTGTGGGCATCCGGGAGCATGAAGTTTCCTCTCCCAGGGAGGCTCAGCGTCCACGCAGCTCTCCTAGCTGGCCAAGCCTCTTCACCCAAGTGCACCCTAGGCAGACGTGTCACGTGCTAAAGATGGGGATACAGTCTCAGCTCGGTGGAAGGCTTGCCCTGGTCACGTGCTGAGGACAGCAGTGTCGGCAAAAGAAGAAAATTATTGCTCTGTAGAGTGTGTAATTACATGTCAAAATAAATGAAATCTGGCAAAATTTTAATTATTTAATTAAAAGTATTATTTGTATATTTATATTAAATTATAATTAAGTTTAATCTGGAAATTAAATAATATTAAAATGCAATAACATTTAAAATACAAAAGCAACACGTTTCCTATTTAAAAACCAGTAACCAATTAAAAATATAAATGTGCAAACAATTCAGCTTACAATAAAATAGTTATTATAATATCTGTAAATTTAAGAAAATGCAAAATATATTTTAAGATGTTACATAAATACATAAAAGACTAATGAATAAATAGCAACAAATCATGTTCTGGGCTAAAAAGACAACTTTATAAACATACCATTTGTACTCAATTACTCTACATTTTAATGCATTTCCAGTTTGAGTAATGGCAGAATCTTCAGTATTTGCTGGTAGAGAGAGGACCTGTGTAACGTGACATAATGACCCTAAAGATTTTTCTGGAATGTAAACATTTTTAAAGAGGAAAGTTTTGAAAAGAGAGTAATTCAGGGACTCTGCCTTCTTTGATTGAAATATAACATTAAGCGCAACAAACAAAAGAAATCAGCATGCAGATCAAGTAAAACATATAAAGTCCAGAGGTGAGATAAAATTCAGAAAGATTAGCTTGATAAAAGTAGCATTTCTAATCACCAGGTAAAAGATTAATAATTTCAGAATGCCATTGAGAAAAGCTGCCAGTTAATTGAAGTGAGGGATTTCACATCATATCTTACAACTAAAGAATTTATTGATGG